CATAGTTCTCAGCTGTTATTAATTAAAACTATTATTATATATATTTTAAATACTTCTTTGTAGAAGGAGTAAAATACTCCTTTGTATTAAAAGCTATACGGTTATAACAATAATAAATGTTGGATAAATATTAACATTGACTAGCGTACAAATTTAATATAAGTAGTTAAAAATACACTTTTGTTAAACGACGTGTGTGCGTATTTCAGTGGAGAAGCCTTCTTAAGCTGACATACTAAGTATTTCATTTCACCTGGAACACCAGCTTTTATTCCATATCAAGTATTGAATAAAAAGAAGAACTTCCAGCCAATGAAAATTGGGGGAAAAAATCAAAATCCGGCACAACTTTTGTCACTGTTTTATCAAACAAGTAGCAGGGATCTGGTGTGTATTCCTTGAAAACCAGGATACGTGGGTATTAAGTTATAGTAGAGCTTTATCATGTACATTGAAATAGGATGTAAACATAAACATATCACATCAGCCCAGAATGTGATGAAATTGTTCCCAACTGTTCCAAGCAGTGTTGCCAACTAAGCTTACAAAACAACAACAACAAAAACGGAAAATATAAAATGTATTTACTAAAACAATTTTGTAATAGCGAAGGTCTTCTGTTTTACATTAACTATTTTAAAATAATTGATTGAAAAATTTATTTAAATTAAATGATAAGAGATCGTAACTATTAGACAGTTATTCAGAAAGTATAATTATGAATTACGAAAAATGCCGTTGATCAATTGGACAACTACGTTATTTTTTTTAAACTATTACCCCACTGCTGACAGCGATATTGTTGGAAAATGAATAATGTTATAAGAATTGACAAAAACTGTTATTAGCTTCCTGACTTTCACTGTAATATATCATTGTTGTCAATATATCATTGTGTAGTTGTGAAAACTTGACACAAACATAAAATGTTCTTTGTTATATGACGATTGTACAACATGCTGAAGCTTTAGTAATATATTGATGTTTGAGCCACGTGTTTGTGATATTTTCACATCCCGCTCGAAGTATATTTCTTGATAATTAATGCACGTTTTGCTTTTACCAAGCTACTTTCTAACCCCCTCACTGCTTGTGTTATCTCTCTCGGTACATTGTTATTTACTTTCTGTCGTATATCGACAAGAATTGTAATTCAAAGTATTACAGTATAATCCGCTGGGGTCCCGTTTCGTCAAGACATAGGAGAATAATAATTAAAGTTCCACTTTAAATCCACTGTGTGGCACTAAGACTCTTGTCGGTCGTTTAGAATGTCAATTTCTTACTAGAGAATTACGTACTAACACAAGTACTTCCTTTCACACCTTTGTTTTTTTATTATCGTTTACGCTTTACGTAGCTTTGCACTAAAATTCTAAAAGGAAAAGAAAGGCGTGATGACGGTTGAACTAGTGGTCCAATAGTTTTAAAGCCGTAAGTTTTCAACTCATTAAAAAATTATTTTCTCTTAAGTGTGAAACCTAAAAATTATGGATTTCTTATAAATTGAAGTATGAATATTTTTAACATATGGTAATATTTTTATTGCGCAAATTGTATAACAATAAACCCTTGTTTCAAAGTTGGTTTCAAGTATAAGTACTCCTTTCGTTAGAGCTGCTTTCGTATGAAAAGGTAGTCTACAATGTAGGTAGCCATTTGAAGGCGAAGAACCAAGTAATTTCTCTGATTTGTTTGTTCCGGCTCCATATGTGAAGAAAGACAGCATCGGAAATAAATTTCAGATATGCGATTGACGAACCAGAAAGAATCTTAACCCATTTTCCCATTACTGATGATGAACGAACAAGAAGAAAATAAAAATAAATACGAAGTCAAGAAGACAACATATTCTTCAAATTCTATATAAATACGAGCTCACTGTGGTGAGTAAAAAAACAAGTCGAAAGACGATTCAAATTTGGCATTAAAACACAAAAACATGTGAAAAATGTGCCCAGCAATGACTTAACCCTATCAAATCACTTTTATATGAAATAATTGCTGGCAGAACGTAAACAAATGTGTTTTTCTAAGATTATTATTCAATAGTATTAGACTCGAAAGCCCGGCATGGCCAGGTGGTTAGGACACTCGACTCGCAGTCTGCGGGTAGCGGGTTCGAATCCCCGAAACACCAAACATGCTCGCTCTCTCAGCCGTGGGGGCGTTATAATGTGACGTTGGTAATAGAGAAGCCCAAGAGTTGGCGGTGGTGATGACTAGCTGCCTTACACTGCTAAATTAGGGACGGCTTGAGCCGATAGCCCTCGTGTAACTTTGCGCGAAATTCAAAAAACAAAACAAACAATAGACTCGAAAAGATTAGTTTCGGCCTATTCTTGTTTGTGTGGTGTTCGCTTTTGACTGATCATAATAATTGTTTAATATAAAATGCCTTAAAAATAATTGTTACTGTTACGACAGCGGAAGTCACGTGACGCTAGTAACACGCAATGAGTATCTAGAAAGATCGAGGAACCTGTCGAACGTCCTAGCGTTTGCTAGACTCGCGTTCTTATAGTATATAAGCCGGCAAATAAAGTGACGGCAACAACTGAATAGCAGACAGGAAGATATAGACGTACAATTGAGTCAAGCGCGGTAGTAAGTAAGTGCGTGAATCGTTCGTTGAGAATTATAGCGTGTGTTTAAGTTAAAGTAACTGTGTAAATTAAGTGTATTGCAAAGTTGAACTGAGAAAGAATAAACTAGTTTTATTTGATAAAGGACTGGTATCGCTGAAGTTCTTCGGAAATAATTTTTACGAGTAATTAACAAACGACCAGAGACGTAACATTACATTCATTACATATCAAACATAAACTTAACCTTAAGCCTGATTACAGAAACTGATATTCAAATAGTAATGGCACATCATAAGGTTGTTTTTCAGTCAGTTCTTAAAATACCTCGCAGTGAACAACAACTGTAAACGTTTCTTACTCTGCAGGTGCACCTTGAATTTCAGCTCGTGCCAACACACGTGAGAAACTAAATGTGGAAACTGATCGATTCACACGAGTGACAATGGAACTGTGAAACTCAAAAGGTAACAAAAGAATGAATAAATATATAATTACCGTAGCTCTAAACGAAAACTCTTCAAAACGTTAATATTCTAGAACCTAAACATTCATCTGATCATATACAACTGAAGAAGGAAAGACACACCTGTAGTTACAATTATTTTCAAATTGATCATTCACGTTGACTTAACATACTCACTCATTCTTTTATAGAGGGTGAGCGTTTCTAATCTTCTGCTAATAAGCTCATTAAGCACGAACTTAATTTTTAATTAAACATCCGTTAATATTATTTTAAGAAATATACAGCTCGCTTTATCATTGTTTATTTAATAAAAGTTATCGTGAACTCATCGTAATGCCAGCAGAGTGTCGATCTAATGTGATACGTACAGAGCTCGAACAAGGAATTTTATAATGTTTTATCAAAACTTTATCCGAACTAAATTCTATACATTTAACTTTAATCCTTAAAGTACCGTCCGTTACTGGTGGGGTCCGTATATAATCAGTAATTTTATGTTTTTTTTCTTGTTACGTCACCCATTGTATAGAACTGGTCAAAATAATTAAATCACTCATTTTGTATCTAAAATAAGTAATAGGCGAATAATCTAACATTGTGGAAATTAATTACAAGATACATAGTAGACGAGGGATTTAACATAGTGGAATTTAACTGTTCAATATATATTAGGCGGGTAATTGAAAATAATGTGTTTGATTGCAAAATACATAGCAGGCGAGTAATTTAATATAGTGTAATATAATTTGTAAAATATATAGTAGGCGAGTAATATAACCGTAGTGTGATTTAACTGTACAATACATAGTAGATGAGTAATCAATCACAGCGTGATGTAATTCTATAATATATAATATGCGAGTAATTTAAACATTGTGGATTTAATTGTAAAATACATAGTACATAGCCTGAGCACACTAATGACTTGACCACGTCTGGCCCATCAAGTGAAGTATATGAACGACCCACCTAGTTATGTAATATTTAATTTTTTAATTAATTCAATCCATTTCTTATAGACAGTACTATTCTGGGCCATTACATTCGACTCGTGGGTAGCTTGTTTTAGTGGTTTTTGAACATTGCAGTCAACAATGTCTACTGAATCTACTCACATTGTTACATGGAAGCTTAAAGATGACGTATATCCCTGTGACTAGTTCAACAAGTTTCTGTTAATCGATTAAGACACAAGAATGAAACAGTGACGTGAAAACAACAACAATACAATTGAAAAATGAGTTATATCTTTGTGGGTCAACGAGGGCACACTTTTACACAATTAAAAGAACGTTTCATGCAGCAAAATGGGTAACAATGTGATTCTATAAAACACGTGCCCCACAGTGGCACAGCGGTATGTCTGAGGACTTACAACGCTAGAAACCAGGTTTCGATACCCGTGGTGGGCAGAGCACAGATAGCCCTCTGTGTAGCTTTGCGCTTAACTACAAACAAACAAACAAATAAAACACGTAGGTAACAACAAATTATGTTACTGTAAACAGTGCGCAAATGAAATCATTCAACAGAAGACCTTTTTGCTCTGCGGAGTTAAAAATTATTTGTAACATATATTGTCCAATAATTTAATCGCGTGAGAAAAAGTAAACACCAGACAAACAAATTAGAATGTGAAAGAGAAAGCGGTCATTAGGCTCGCAGTAGTTTTATATACCATGGCAAACTAACGTGAAACTAATCGTGAAATCAATACCACGTCGTCCAATCATATTGGGGGATTCTTTAGAAAATGAACACCTGCTTGACTTTGTGTTGCCGTGTTTCTACTCCGCTTATTATACATAATTATACTAAAACTCGTACATGGATACACTAACATGTATTTCATGTCGCGAGTTCAAGCCATTCGTTCAGTTTGTAAAAGTTAAAAAAGCGAAAATTACGAGTATCAGGTTACAGTTACTGTTATAAAGGACAATATGAAAACAAGGTTATGTGTAGCTCTGTGCGAGAGACTTTTAGTTTTCCTTATGATTATGTCCTCAACTATGGCAGCTATCGAAGAAGGTAAGTAAACAATAACTCAAAGATGTAGAAAATATTTACTAATAAATTAGGCCTGATGTGGGTCAGAGTATAGGCGGCTAACAACTGAAGCCACAGCAGCGCCACTATGCTACAGTGAGTATTTTTCCAGATGCGAAGATGCCATATAATATAGCTTTTACTATATAATTGTCATGATAATTATGCTTATTACTCTCTATTCCTCAAGCACACACACTTCGAAATCTCTTGAGCTTTGGACTTGCACAATCCTCTAAGAAGTAACCATCTTTACGCCCATGTTTGAATTTTTCAAGAGAGATACTGATCATGTCAGTATCACGTACTTTTATTAGCAGTGATATGGGTTAAGATTCTGCGTACAGCCCAAGCATAATACATAATTAACTAGAACAATGTGAAAGGTAATGATTATTAAACAAATATATATTGGAAGGGATCCGCCCTAAGCCACTTTAAAACAAACCTATATATAGTAGCTCGAAAACCATATTTTGGAATTTGGACAGATGGTCTGGCTCTCTCATTTTTACGTGTAGTATTGCTTTCATACCATTGTAAGTGACGTGTTTTAGGAAATCAGTTTACGGTAAGCTAAACGTTTCATCTGACAACAAAGGTTACTTTTACATCAGTTTAAAACAGTGCTTTTCTACTTGATTATCAAACAGTCTATGTGCTAACATTATCAATTAAATTAGAATATTAGAGTAGCGATAGTCTCCAATATTAATGTATTAAGAAAAATAAATAAATTCATTTTTGTTTTGTGAAGGAAATGTATTTTAGCAGGACCAAAAGTGTGTTTTTACTGAAAGATCTAACCACGTACATTACCCTCAGATACTGACAGATTCAACTAACCACGTACATTACCCTCAGATACTGACAGATTCAACTAACCACGTACATTACCCTCAGATACTGACAGGTTCAACTAACCACGTACATTGCCCCCAGACTCTGAAGAGAAGTTCAAGTACGAATATAGTAATAGTGTCCATACACTGGGAAGACGTGAACCTGTTTTACAACGCTTGATTCTGTTGTTGTTCCTCATTTCTAGACTTTTCAGCAGCTGTTAAAATGATTTTGTTCTAAGCTTTGTTGATGCAACAGAGTAAGCTCATATTATAGATCACAAAACCATTCAACAACCATTCAATGACCCGAAATAATTTTCAATTGTTGCAAATTGGAAAATTTTATTGGTGAATTTTTTTATTTTTAGAGCCCTCTTCCAAACTTTCTTTGGACGAAATTCCAAGTGCGCAAGCGTGATTGGTGTAACCACCTTCGCACTTTTCATTGTATTAACTTCTGATCAAAATAAGCTACCTAGATAGATTGTTGGATATACAAGACTGTTTAGTGTAAGTGTTATTATCTAATTTATTTTGTGACTTAATATTTAATGATCGTTTAGTTTTCATGACAGCAGTGTGGAATATTGATTGTTTTAAAAGTGTCAGTTGTGATAAATTTTTGTTACGTAACTCTGTACAAGTCGTACGTTGTGTCTGCAATTAAATTATTTTCTAGGCTTTACTAATATTGTTGACGTCACGTTGCTCGAATCTTCGGCGTTTTTCTCGCTACCTTAACTGAGTAATGTTACATTTAGAGTCGCGTAGTTTGTCGAAAATCCGAGGCTTCAGTGAACAAGTGGAATTTGTTTGTTTGTAATTAAGCACAAAGCTACACAATGGGCTATCAGTGCTCTGCCCGCCACGGGTATCGAAGCCCGGATTCTAGCATTGTAAATCCGCAGACGTACCGCTGTGCCACTGGGGGGCTTGACGAGAAAAGAGAACTATTTAGAGTTTTAGACACAACTGAGATATCCTATACTGTATATATTTTTTGTAAATAAGTTTGACTTGTTTTGAATATATTATTTTGAAACAAGTTCATTATTCGAATTTATTGCCAACAAGTCACAGACACCTACCTTAGAAGAATCCCAGCCCACATGTACTTAAAACCGTGAGATAGATAATCAGAACTATATATATATATATACCCGTAATTAGCATGGCTAATTAAATATAACATTCAAACTATTATAATTATAATCATTATATTGCATTGTTTTTCGTTTCATCAGTTGGGTACCCTCGCTTTTAACAATAGTTTTGGTTTTGGTTCGAAGATCAGTAAATAACAGTGCTAGAACTAGCTGGAAAATTAAGAACCTTAAACACTTATTTTTCTAGTTTATTGGTCTCCATAATGGTCTCAGTCGAAGCATTAGAGCTTAACTTAAACAAAAACGCTATTCAGCCTATTCTATATTGGACACCCAGTGACTTAGTGCAAGCCATAGGCGCGCATAATAGTCAAGCGCCATAATGTTCTTTTACTGAAAATGTCTTTGTTTAGAATATCTTAAGAATTTTTTGTTGGAGTCCATGATGTACCAAAGGGAACTGATAGCGAATTTAATCCATTTCATTTATCAAGAAGGTTTGCTTGTTTGTTGAAGTTCGCGCAAAGTTACTCGAGAGCTATCTCTGCTAGCGTCTCTAATTTCGAAGTGATAGATTAGAGGGAAGGCAGCTAGCTAGTCAACACCATCAACCGCCAACTCTTGGGCTACTCTTTTACCAAAGAATAGTGGAAATGACCATCACTATGTGACGTACCAAGGGCTGAAAGGACGAGCATTTTTGATGATGGAATTTGAACTCATGACCCACAGTTTGCGAGTCGAGTGTGTGAGATGGGGTTTGAACTCATAACCCACAGATTGTGAGTCGAGTGTGTGATGGAGTTTGAACTCATGACCCACTGATCGCGAGTCGAGTGTGTGATAGGGTTTGAACTCATGACCCACAGATTGCGAGTCGAGTGTGTGATGGGGTTTGAACTCATGAAACACAGATCGCAAGTCCTATTAAAAAAAAAGGAGCAGAAGATTAAGAAAACTTATTTGAACGATCTTTAGCCTATTGTTTCGGTCCGAAGTCATTTCCAGGGATTGTTTTACAAATACTCTAACAAAATACAACAGCGACACCTCAAGAACAACACATAGAGAGTTGTATAAAAAGTTTTAATAGCTAATAGGATCATAAAAATCAAAACTGATATTAACCTTCAACAAAAGCTTACCAAAGCAGCTAACGAAAGTAACTGAGGTTGAAGAAATATCAAAATACGTGATCCATAAGAACACTTGTACAATTTAAAAAAAACAGGAAACGATGTTACTTCCCGGAAGATCCTAAAGCTTAATGCTAGATTCGGTGACAATCGGTTCTGGTTTCGCCAGTTATAAGCGTCCACACACACAAACTCCGATTTGTGAAATAGTGGCCTTGGTAATACCAAACTAACAGTAGTGAGCAAGAATTATAAAAAAGGCTGTTTATCATTTATTAAAATTAGTTCTGTCCATATAAAATATGTTTTCCTTGTTTAGAATATATAGCGCTATTTATTGATGTCGACAGAAAATTTCTAGACATTTCTATGTGTTCTTTTCTGGTTAAAATTAGTAACAAATAAAACCTTGTATCAACGGATTCCAAGTTAGTGTTAGTTTTCAAAGCTTACATTAATGAAGGGATAATACAGGTTTACGAAAATTCTGGAACCGTAGGTGATTTGCAGCTTTTCTTAATTACAGATACGTGACTGATTATGGTGCTGTCAAAACACGAGAAGGTCGAGTTAATCCTGCTGTTAATCCAAGCTTGATTCGAATTACAAGGACAGCATGTGGAACACATTATGTTAAATATGTTGAAGGGCCTATGGTTCCAGACTTTTCTGGCACCCTGTACTTTACGATAACATATCACATACGTGTTTTTCAGAAGTTTGTTTTCTCAAACAGAAGTTATCCTTTCGGTAGCTCCGAAGAGAGAGAGAGAGAGAAAAACAATTTTTCACACTTTTTATCACATCGCTTAGTTGAGCATGTCTGAACTACACAAAGTTCCATGCGCTTTTAAGAGTGACCGTCAAATCCCACCATTCTGTCAGACATGTGTAGCCCATGAGGTGTCAGTTGGTTAGCTGCCCTTCCTATAGTCTGTCAGATCAAGATTTGGGTACCCATGACACCGAAGTGCGCAGAGCGTTTTTACGGCAAAGGCCCACAAACAACGAAAGATGTCTGTGCAACTATTTTCTTCCTGAAATACGTTGACTAAGACAGTAAAGAAACTTCCAGATGCTCTCGCTGACGTTTGTATTCAATTTTATAATAACGGTCAACGTTTTTTTTTTCGATCAAGAAATGTTAAATATTTAAAACGATGAAAAGTTGTGAGCTTTAACAGATGTGAAAATGAACGATAGTCTACATATAGTTAAATATTAGAATTGTTACGGGGAAGTTTTAAAATTCCAATTAAATTAAACGCAGTTTTTATTTCATGAATAGCTACAGCCTTTAGAAATGGAATACACCCCAAGTACATACTTACTGTGATGTGTGAACAGTGACTTATAACTTAATGTGAAGTGTGAACATTGAAATATATACTTACTGTAATGTGTGAACAGTGACTTATAACTTAATGTGAAGTGTGAACATTGAAATATATACTTACTGTGATGGGTGAACAGTGACTTATAACTTAATGTGAAGTGTGAACATTGAAATATACACTTACTGTGAAGTTGGTGTACTTTGGTGACAGATTTTATTGTAGTCAGTTTTTGTTAAACAAGACCGATGTCTGTAGGTTTACTTTCTTCTTAGAATTCTTCTCAAGAAGTCGATAAGCCGTCGGAATGACTACCACAACCCTGTAAAGACGCCTAACAATGCATCTACAAAATGGAGCCATT